AACTGTATAAGCAACAAAAGGATTCAGATTTGCATGGGGAAGTTCAAACCCCAAATAACCGAGAGAACCATCAAAGCCGTTTGTTCCTGGCTCTTACAGCACTGTTGGCATTAGAGAAAAGTAGATTTGCTACTAAATAGGAAATTTAAAGCAGATTAGGAGTAAATTGAATCAAACACCTTAAAAACTCCATTTATCAGTAAACACATATCATATGCATGTATACAGCCTAGAATTAATTATTTCTTAATTTATATTAAAATTAGTCCCCTGCTCCAAACTAGGCATTGGTTATGCAGAATAATTCAGCTATGGCTGCATATTTCCACTTACTCATGAAAAGTAATGTTTAATAATAAACACCTTATTTTTAATCTTGTGTCTACTCTTATCCTTGAGATCATTATTCCTCCGAACCCACTAGATGTTTTCAAACATCTATAGAGCCTATTTTGTACCTTGTGAACTAGGGAAAAAAACATAAATTGATACACTAACAAAATGTACGTGTGGAGAAAACACACTACTGTCTCCGGATGGCTCCAAGAACTACAGGATACTAATAACACTAGGGCCAGCACCTCATGCATTTGACTAATCAGCCTAAAGAAGACAATGACGCAATTGCTTCTGTAAGCAAGCACTACCTGGTGTACGCATTTAGAGGCGCCCTGAAGATCACTGTTAAGATAGTGAATCCTGGGCAACAAGATGGGGTTCACAAGGGTGATTAGACAAAGAAAGCATAGAAAGCAAGTCATCCAGGCAAGAAAGAGAGCACCAGCCGGGATGCTATTTATTTCCTAGAAAGAGAGTAGAGGTAGGTCCCTGTATTGCAAAACCGTGAATTAATTACATTCTACCCCACCACCATCAGCAGGCAGCATAACATGCTCAGATTTTATTTTTGGTGACACGGGAAATGATGACTTATCATCCGCGGTTGGATGTTCAAATCCCAGGGGACAGAGCCAATAAAAGCAACTCCTAGTGACAAAAACTCAGGGCTAGACCATCAGTATCCATCAAACTGAAATGTTTTAGGATTTGTCTTTGTTTATAACACTTTACCACTGAGGAAAATATCTAGTTAACTAGAAAAAGCCTAAATTATTGGAGGTTCTTTTGGTGGTTGTTCTGTTTTGTTTTGTACTGAAAGGAAAAGTTAAAAAAAAAAAAAGTAATAACTTGTGATTCTCTTCAGCACAGAAGTCGAGCTTCACTGAGAAGCTTAGCTGGTTGGGCAGGGGGCTCCTAGGCCCATATGGCAGGCCTTGGGCTCAGTGGCTCACCCCACAGGACAGCCACAGGTGCAGGTGCAATCAGCATTAAGTAGAAAGGTGTATAGGGAAAAAAACCAAAAACACAACAAAAAACAGCATTTCTGCCAATAAGAGTAAGAGGGGTAGTTAGTCATGGTTGGAATAACAGAAACTTAAAAGGCACCTGGGAGGAAGGTTTACCTCACAAAGTAGGATGCAGAATATCTAGAAAAATCTTTAATCTGATCATCTGAAGTGGATAGTTTATGCAGTTATAGAAAATGGAGGGGGAACAGGGGGTACTAACTGATCTATGGAGTGTTAATGTCATCCTGTTGTTAAGAGAAAGTCAATAGTGTGTTTTTAAATTAGACATGCAGCCTGTGCTGTGGGGAAGAAGTACATGGAAATCATGTATCAGATAACTAAATTGAGGAAAGACAGACATTGGCCAAGGAGCCAGTTAAAGAATATTCCATACTACAAGCCAGTGGGATTATCCCAGTGTCTTCATAGGGAGAGGAAAATGAGTAAGTGTGATAAAAGACAAATAAATTGTGCCCAGATGAAAGGTGAAGTATGGATCCAAATAATCCAGGGGTAGACACAAAGTGAATGATGGTGCTTTCAATGGGAATGAGGTATGGAATATTGAAGAACCAACTTGATTTCTAACCTTCAGATATGCTGATAATGTATACTAGGTAGTCAGACAAAATATCTGAAACTATTCTGAGAAAGAGTGCTAATTTCATTCTTCTGGTCTTGATATAAGTTATTATTTTATGTTACAAATTGGTAAAGAAGAAAATAAGTGTAAATGAATATGGTAAATTATATGATACTCCATTTAACAACACAAGAATGATTAAATTTTCATATGAAGATATGGAAAGAGAAAAGGTACCAAATGAGAGTTGTCTGATAATTTCCATCTGTCTGTGAGTAGAAGAAACAATAGAATAATAAAAGAAAAGAGATGGGAGGGTTACAAAAATGAAAAGAGAAGGTACAATAGAATGTTAACAGAAGAAAGGAGAATCACGTCCAGTAGGGTTTCTAGGCTGTAAGGCATTCTGCAGGGATTGAATCAATGGTACTTGGGGCAGCAGCTGTATGCGGGTGTGCATGGCACGTGTGTGCATCTGAGTGTTTTCAAAAGAAAAGGCAATGGAGCAGGTTCAAAAGCAGAAGAGGAGATGACAGTGGAAATGCACATACTGAAGTCGCCACTGTGGTAAGGGTTTGAAGAGCAGCACATTCGGAGGAGAAAGACACGGACGGGACACCAGAGAGTCCCAGGAAGACTGGGGACCTGGAACGAGGGGCCTTTCTACAAATGCGAAAGAGGAAATGGATGGTGGTGATTCAGACTTAATCTGTGGTTTGAAAAGGAGGTGTACATACAATGATCAGAATAAAGAGGGAGACAAAATGCTTTTAAGTGGTTTTAAACTGGAAATAAAATGAGTAGGAAACCAGACATCAAGCAACCAGCTGTATAAGGCCAAGATCTAAAAATAATTGAAGAATGAAAGGACAAGGAGCTATTACTGCTCATGTGAGCAACAGGCATCTGTGCTTTCACTCCTTTGCTTGGGAGTAAACCCTGTACGATTGCCAAGTAGGAATGGCCAAGCAAACAGCTTCCATCAAAACAAGAGACCTAGAAATTTCAGAAGCTACACCTGTGAAGTCTCATAAACATGACCTGAACAAGGAAAACACCTATAGACATGCTAACATGGCGAGGGGAAAGCTCTTGAGGTCTCAGCCCTAAACAAAGAACTGAAGCAACTAAAGAATACCAGGAGCAGGAGAAGCAGTCTTCCCCAGAGAAGAACACACCCATCAGTTATCCAGTACCAACTGGTTGGCCCTGAAAACACACACACTTAGGATATATATTATATATTACATTATATATAATATATTGTATATATGCGTATATATACATGTAAATGTATGTATAAAATCTCACAACAATTAAAGAAAAAGAGGCCACAAATTTGAAAGAGAGCAGTGGAAGGTTTGGGTAGAGAAAAGGGAAGGAGGAAATGATACAACTATATTATAATCAAAACTTAAAATGTATTATTTTATAGAGACTATTTTAGGACTCAATTTACTCGTCAGCTGGGCCTTATGGCTCATGTCTATAGTCCCAACACTCAAGAGGCTGAGTTGGGGAGATTGTAGTGCATTTGAGGCCAGTGGGCCTAAAACCAGTGGGTGGGGCTTGGTCACTGTCCTGGTGGTGGTGACGTGTGGTCAGTATGCAGTTGTGCACTGCTGTACTGTTCCAACGCTCTTCTGCCCATGATGTCACCTGACTTCCTCAATCCCAGGCTGGTTTTAATTCATATTTCCTCCAGGCAAGAGCAATTGTCATCTTCCATTTCCAACCTCTTCACTTCCCATCTGTAATTGTCTGTTCCACTTTGCAGTTAATGATTGGTATTTATAACTGTCTTAGGAATCAGGGATACAGTGGAGGGAATGGTAACAGACCAAAAAAGAGTCAGGAGTCGAATACTTCCCTCTAACTCTGGATCCAGTCCTCATTTAGAGCACATAATCACACAAGTTATTAGAAGGAAGCTACAATCTTAGGATTATTTATGCGAATGTGAAGTACATATAGCACGTGCTCTGTGGTGTCTACAGTGGAGTAAGACTCCACTCTTTCCAAACCTTTGCCTACTACTCAGTTCTGATTCTCCTTCTAATGTAAAGCCTGGAATTATCATAATCCTTCTGAATACAGGGAAAACGTGGACTTAGGATGCTCCAGGAGGGATTATCATCACTTGTCACTTAAGATCAGATCAATAGATGAAGAAAAAAATTCATTTCCTTCCTAATGATAGTTCTGAATTCAAGCAGTGTTGACATGGATTCTGTGATTCAGGGATGTTAGAGACAATAGCTCTACAAGTCCACAGACAGTGTAATGATATGGCTGCCCCATTGCCATCTCTTACATAAATATCCAAGGCAAGAAAAAGCTACAGGGACTGGGGGCTGGGCAGATGCTATGGTGGGTTAAGTGCCCTCTGTGCGGCACAAGGACCAGAGTTTGCTCCCCAGCACATACAAAAGGCTGGGCCCTGTGAAGGAGGAGACAAAAGGGTTCCTGGGCCTTGATAGTGAGCCACTGTAGCAAATTCAGTGAGCTGCAGATTCAGTGAGACACACTGTCTCAGAAGTAAAATGGAGACCTATAAAGAAGGGCATATGTCAACCGCTAGCTTCCGCAAAGCAGATATTGGATGATCAACACACACACACACACATGCACCACACCACACCATGAAATGTTAATTTTAAAAAAGAAACAGAAAAAGAAGTTTCTGGGTCAGCTTTGACAAGAAAGCAACCCCATCCACTGAATTACCAGTGTACTTCTGTGTGTATCTCAAGTAAACATTAGATGGTTAGACCTAGCAGCAGAGGAGACTTGGGAGTTGTGTTTTTAGCTTCTCTTGTCTGTTGAGGAAGGACAGAATGGGTGTGTGTATTGTAGTGTTTATTTAGCTAGACAGCATTCTGATTCTAAGCCTTACAACCTCTAAAATCTATGTTCAAAATGTACTTCATTTTGAGGGCAAGCAAACCAGAAGGATTGCTAGTCTTTTTGTGTCTGTTTAGATCAGTTTAATCAACAAGCTGAATGTTTTCTTGGAAAGCACAGAGCTTTGAACCCAGGGAAACCAAAGAATTTTTTTTCAAAAACAGGTCAACTGTGAGTGCTAACACTATGCATCTGGAGACACCAAAAGGATCTCAGGCCCTGTGATGGATGGCGAGGGAGGCAGCTGCTGAGCACAGGAAGGCCAGGCTGTCAAAAGGTCATGGAAATCAGAGGACACAGTTTGGATGAAAGTTGGCTCTTTTCCCATGTAAACTGCTTCTAATATTGTAAAAGTCATTTCATTTTTTAACAGCTTTATTGAGATATAACTTAAATATCATATAATTCACACATTTAAAGTGTACATTTCAATGATTTTTAACATAGTCACAGACTTGTGCAAACATTACCACAGCCAATTTCAGAACATTTCCATAATCCCAACTTAAACTTACACCCTGCAACTATCACCTATCTATTTCTAATTACCACAGGCCCAGAAACCACTAGTCTCTACTCTGTATTTGTAGATTTGTCTGAAGACTTTCAGATAAATGGATTCACATAACACACTACCCTTTGTTCTTTCCCTTAGCATTGTGTCTCCAAGATCCATTCATTTATTTTAATAGTTGAATCATATACCACACTTATTTGTTTAGTAAATGACACTGATTTTGGCTGCTCCCATCTACTTACAACTGAATAATGAAGCAGCAGAAGTTTTATACAGTGAGATACTATCCTTTGTCCTTATGACATAGATGGTTATTGTTTGTAGATTTTCTTTATATATCAATAATACAAGCCTGTTATGTGACATGTGGATTGTAAATATCTTCTCCTATCCTTCAGTCTTTTGTCTTTATTAATCATCTCCTTTGAAGCACAAACGTTTCTATGTTTCTAGGGCATTATCTGCAGTGGAATATGTGGGGTCATATGCTGGGCCTATGCTAATCACTGAAGGAATTACCGAAGAATTTGAAAAGTTATGACAGCAGGGCACATCCCTATCAGCAATCATTAAGGGTTCTGATGTTTTCACATCCTTGCTGCCATTTATTTCACTTTCGTATCCTATGTGAAATAATAACTATGCCATCCTAGAGGAAAAGAAGTGATATCTCATTATAGTTTCCATTTTTATTTCCCTGAATGCTTCAGCATTTTTTCATGCGCATGTTGGCCACTTCATATATTATTTGATGAAATTTTATTTATAACTTGTGTCCACTAGTAATTAAGATGTCTTCCATCCTAACTCACCCTGGTGGATGGAGACAGGGGAGAGCTGGTGGGCTGACAAACCCTGCAGGTACTCAGGCCAAGGACCAGGGTTAAGTGCTGGCCCGCCCCACCATCCAGCCCATCTGTGATCTGCTGGAGCACTGGTGGAGGCTCAGTCCTGTGGACCAAGGGCTACAGGATCTCCATGACACAGAACAGCAACAGGATGTCCAGGAAGAGTCCCAGTGATGGTCCAGTGCCGATAGTGCAGCGGAGACCAGGGACCTTGAGCTAAACTAATGATTCTTTGTGATGAGTACCTACAGGTAAAAACATGTGGAAAAAGGAGTCTGCATGACTCACTGTGTCACACCACAGCTTCCATAGGGAGATGTTTCTCTTTCTTCCTTTTTCTCTTTTTTTGGCTTAAATTTTATTTTGTTTTATTTATGGGGGGCAGTTGCAGGGGCAGAGGGAGGATTTGAGGGGACAGGAGATGGGTGGGATCAGGATGCATGATGTGAAAGACACAAAGAATAAATAAAAAAAAGTTTAAAAAAGATCTTTTGTCCTTAAATGTGTCAGACCTTTATATAGTCACAAGACAAATCTTTCATCAGAAAAATGAATTGTAAATATTTTCTCCCTACTGAATGGCCTTGGCATCTTCGCTGAAAATGAGCTAAATAGAGACATACAAGTTCACTTTATATTCTTAATTTCTTTCCATCACAATATATACATAATTTATATAATATATTTATATAATTTTATAAATATCCTGTGCTGGTACCATCCCATTGTGATTACCACTTCTTCTTTTGTAGTTAAGTTTAGAAAGCACTGACTCCTAGCCATGAGGCCGTCAAGGGATAGTTCTAAGTTGAGGGACATATGACTTCTCCAACTTCATTCTTCCTTTTCAAGATTGACTATTTTTAGCCTCTTGAATTTCTATGAGTTTGAGAATTAGCTTGCCAATTTCTAGAAAGAAGCCAGCTGGGAGACTTATCAGGATCAAATTTTATCTGTTCATCAAGTTGGGAAATCTTGTCATTTTAAAAATAGTAAATTCTGAGCCATAAACTGCTTTTAATATTGTAAAAGACATTTCTTACTGGTGTCTCTGTTTGCCTTGATTTAGTCTATTTTCACCTTATTAGTCATGTATAAGAAACCTTAGTAGGAGGCAAAGGAACAATAACAGGAAATAGACATGGTTTCTGGGAGCAAAGTCAGGGAGAAAAGTTCCCTAAAAAACAGTCTTTTGTGTTGGTGGAGCCTAGAGACATTCTAAGCCTCACTAAGGTCGGCTGTTTCTTCCAAACACTGCAGGCCCTGGGCTATATCCCTTTGGTGTGGTGGCTGCCATGGCAACAGTTCACGTGGGCTGGAAGAGAGAGGATGAGGCCTCTCTGGCACAGCCATTAGTGCTACTCTGGCCAGCAGGAGGTGCCAAGGAGAGCAGTCTCTCCCACCTCTGCAGAGATCTACACCCACCTCTAAAAAAGCCAAGGATCAAGAACTGAGAATCCTCCTGTGAGATGCCATAAGCAGGCCAAAATCTCCCTAGAGGGATTTATAAAAGGAGGAGGAGGAGGAGGAAGGGGAAAGTGATTTCAGTAAGTATGCATGTCAAACATACTCTAGGAGTGCTTAGCTACATGGGGAAAAAATAAAATATTTAATTCTAGCTATGAAATACAATCTTTCCCAAATCAGACATCATCTTATGTTTAATTTTGCTACTCAATAATTCAATTTTATATTTTCTACAGTGAAAAGATTTGCAAGTTAGCTTTCCTTTCTCCTTCCTTCCTTCCTTCCTTCCTTCCTTCCTTCCTTCCTTCCTTCCTTCCTTCCTTCCTTCCTTCCTGTATAGTGTGCAGACTACTCCAGGAAATGGACAATTGTTTGTTAAGTTGAGTTATAATGCCTCATCTCTAGACTCTGCAGCTAACACTGTTACCATTCATGATATCACAGGAGATCACTCACCACACTTTTCCTACTGCTTTATCTTGAATTTCAGGAGGACATAGGGTAAATGTTTCAGTATCCAGTTCATGAATGCATCAGAATATTTTACTTTACACAATGGGGCAGGCAACAGCTATTAATTAAAGTTTGATGTGAGACACCAAGCACACATACAGAATACAGATACAGAACAGCATCCTGTGAGTGGTTAAGGATTTATGTGATGGAGAAATTTTTACACATATCCGACATTTGAGTTTGAAATAGCCTTATCTTTGTTGTGTGTGACTGGCAGCTTTTACCTTTGCAAACTCTTTAGTATGCAACCAATGTTTCATGATACACGTAATTGACTAAATATTTATCAAATATTCAGACACTTACTTGGTGGATTAATTATTGAACAGGCTTCCTCTGAACTATCTTTCTTTTCACTACAGCTAATTCTCTGTTGCTGGCTTGACATGTTCTGTGGAGGCAGAGAAAGAGCTAGCTCAGCAAACTGTTGCTTTCAAGGTGAAGCATGTAAGCCTGTGAAGACAAGGTACACAGGCCAATCCATGTCACTGCTCTAGCAGACTTCAAAGAGTGTTTGAAGCCACACATGAAATTCCTAATGAGTGTGGTTTACTTGCTGTCTTACAAAATTTAATTTGAAGTTAATCTTTATTGATTCAATAACTGATGGGGAAAGAGGATTCTTTTAGCAGCTAAAACTATTCCTTTAGTCAGAGTCTTATAGAGCAACTCTGCTATACTACTGCAGAAGTCAGAAGCAGGGAGAGCTGTCTCCAGTGACCAAAGGAAGGATCTTGGAGTCAAAAGTAGAAGCAGTCACTCACAAACTCATAACTTTAGAAAGGGTTAGAAATCAGAAAGGGGTGAGGAAGAGGGGGACTCAGCCTTCATCATTCTCCAACAGTGCCGTAGTATGGAATGATATGACTCTGTGTCTTTGACATAGAATTGGCATGCCACAGAAAAATATTTCCTTTACACATTGTGACTTGTGCTCTTGGATAATTTGAGGTAATTATGTATCTCTTTGGTGAAGCAGACAGATCTGAAACTACCCTCTGTCCCACCTTCAACAGTGTTTTGTTCAAATCTAATAACTGGGCTAGGTTCTCTCCCTTAAATATTCTCATTACAAGCAAGCACAATTTACTTCTATATGTAAACTTTCTTAATGTTTCTACAAAAACATTCTTATCACATTCATTCTTCAAGTCTTCTTAAAAAACATGAAACAAGAGCTTATTATTGGTACCTCAGTGAATAACACTGAAAAAAAGGCATTTTAGTGATTCCAAATTATTTTTGTAAAATTATATTTAAAATAAAACTATTTTCTGTATATATGAATATTTATCTCTATTATAAATAGATCATAATTTCAAGGATACTCATAAATCATTAACTATGAACACATTATTTTAAAAAATTATAATAGTATGGTTTCTATTATATGAACATTATCAGCAGATAATGGTGATGGATTATACATGGATGCTATATTTAATTAGTCACAAGTGATATAAATGCTTGACATAAACTTCTGAGACTTCTGATGGGGAGATTTGTGTGTGTGTGTGTGTGTGTGTGTGTGTGTGTGTGTGTGTGTGTATGTGTGTGTGTGTGCACACGCATGCACACATGCACACGCTTGCATGCATGCACACACGTGTGCAAGTCTTTGAAATCCACTAGCACACACCATTCTTCAATCAAGACAAATATGTGGGTGAATCAGCAGGAATCCATTCTGGCATCCCCAGAGTGCCCTGGAGCTGTCCACAGTAGGGTGCTGGAAAAGGCTGCTGCAGATGGTTCAGGTACACAATTATTTCAGCCTGAAATGCAGCAGGATAATCAGACCCATGTTAAAGTATTGCTGCAGAGCACATGACCTGGAAACTGCCTCATGAGGGCTTAGAGCATCCTCAGTCTCCTTCAATAATTACAAGGGAAAAATGCTTTCTCCAGAATGTAGGGAGAAAGTTCATTCAAGACCCAGAGCCATTTATTTAGTCTTACAAATATAAATGGCCTTCCTGAGAAGAACTTGGCTGAATTGCTAAATAACCGACATTTTCTCCAAGAAGATTTAAGTTCCTTATAGAAGGCTACAGTTCACATTTTATGGATTTTTCCAGTGGTCCTAATTCCATATAAAAAATTAAGCATTATTTACAAAAATTGTCTGTTTACCATCAGCAGAATTGCTCTCCACATAAACCGAAAGAAGGGGGATAAAAGGGTCTGGAGGTTTAGCAAAATACAAGGACTGACTTTCAGATCCATGGTAAAGGTCAGGTGTAATATTCAAAAACAAATTAAAAACCAGCCATTCTATTGGGCTCAGAAGATTCTAGCAAAGGTTGGGTACCCATGGGCATTGGCTCAAAATGTGTTTATTATGATCACACCCCAAATGATGCTGCAAGCCCTCTTAAGGCCTCTGTTCACCACCGTCCTTCTTGCATTATGTATGCAGTTATTGTTTTGCATTGTGCACGATCTAAAATGATACAAAACCATTTTGCTGAAAAATAAACCACTGGTTTTATGCTTAACACCAGGATTACAAAATGTGATGTCATGAATTATTCATACCATTCGATTTAATGTAATCATTTTCCCCCCAGCGTTAAGCCTCTGTGAATGGTGTCCTATGCAGGCACTGTTTTGAAGAACTTAATACTAGTGAGAGAAACACCTGGCATTAACTGACAGGGAATTAGGCTCATTGTCACTTTGGAAAAAAAAATACACTTTAAGCTTTGATCTTCTGTACATCCAAATTCCAAGGAATATTTATCAATACTACAAAATGAATGAATCCTGTGCACTTGTAGACATATTGACCTCCATATTCAGACATAGACATATGTAATAATATGTACACATTTGCATTTTTGAGCTACCAAAAGGAAATCTTTCTTTCATTCAAAGTAATAATTAGACAAATTTCTAATATGTTTACTCTAACAACAAATGTATCTTGATACACATTTATATTCTACTTAGATCACCTCTTTTTACTTACTTACCTTCCGACAAAACATGTGGAAGAATAAACACACAAGTGAAATTGCCCCATAGGGTAATTTAATCTTCAAGGCAGTTCCAAAAATCAAAAACAAGATAAAGAGTGCTGGGAGAACAAGGGAATCCATGGCTGATATGTAAAATTAAATTAAATTATACAATAAAATAAAAAATAAAAAAAAGATAGAGTGCTACTGAGTGTTTTCAAACACAAACATTCGCTTTAATCTATTGCCAACAACTGTTAAAAGTCACTTCATTTCCTGGGTGGCTGTTGCTTGGCCTTTTCTGTACTTCAACATGATAAAGCCATGTTAAAATGTTCCAATTACTCTTAAATCAGGAAGCAGCTCATTCTGGGTTTGAGTATATATATGATCAGTAACCCATGAGAAGAGC